TTTTTTTTTTTTTTTTCTGAGTTTGAGGAGTTGTGATTTTTTTTTTCTCCCCTTGTTTCCTTTTATAGATGTCCATTATGACACTTGTTTCTGATTTTTCCCGCATTCCTCGAGCTCCACACCCGTAATTTCCGCTCCATGTTTTCCACCTCGAGCTCTACGCCTTCGGGAAAATGTCTTCATAATAATAATATTTTTAAATTTAATTACTATATGTATAAAAGTTAATTAGAAAAAATAAAGAGAGAGAGCAGAGAAGAGAGAAGAGAGAAGGAAAAGAAAAAAAAAACAAGAGAGAAGAAGGCAAGGGGTTTCAAACCCATAACCTCTTTCCTTAAAGCCCAACAGCTTATCACTACTCCATAAAGGATCCTTGTATTATAAGTGTATAATTGTAATATTTATTATAGTCTAATAGAATTTAAACAGGTTGGCGGGTTGACTTGAAATTCACCCGTTTGTTAAACGGGTCATAACAGGTTGACCCGAAAATTACCCAATCATTAATCTTGTGGGTTTGGATCATATTTTTTCCCGTGTGGGTTTCAAGTTGTGTAACAAGTCGTATCGGAAGTTGCCACCCCTAGTTATGACGAATGAATAATAAGTGGTGGTTGTTTGGTGCTTTTCTTTTTTATGTATTTCTTTCCTCATTTGGTTGTGAGCTATTCTAATAAGTGTTTGTTGTCTCTTTTAAATTTTGATGGGTTGTTTTGGTGTGCAAAGTTTGATGCTAGCTTGTTTTAAATTTTATTATGCAACAAATAGGAAATCATATTACACCCAGGAACAAATTGATGTGGTGCGAAATGAATGAGGAGAGTTAATGCTAAACCAAATGGATTGATCAAGTGTTGTTGAACCTCAAAATATACTCGTATGTGCTGAGCTTATCAATGTTGGTGTTCTAGCTTATATGTCATTCCTCTTCCAGCTTTTAATGTGTGACAATTTCCTTATTTATATCATGCAATTATTAACAATTTGAAGTTTGGACTACAAATGAAGTATTATGTAATTATGTATTTTGAAATACGATGACTTCTATTTATTTTTATTTGCAGAGGAACAAAAATATGAATTTGGTACATTGCTTGATTTAATTTGTCCATAATTCTTAAAATTGATGCCTTAAAAGTTGATTCTAGTTTGGACAAATGAATACATATAATTCTTAAAACTAATGCCTTAAAAATATGAGACATCAAAAATTGAGATTCAACTGAAGTGCATTACACATATGACATCACCATTAGTAAAGTGGTGATGTTGTAACTACAAATAAGCATCAGGATATAACATTATCCTATTATTTTTACCTCTTAAGACATCGGGCAATATATAATTAGTGAAGTAAATCTTGTTAAAAGGCATCGAAAATATGTATAAAACGATGCCCTTAACAATTAGACACTACAATGGGCCAAAAGAACTGATGCGAAATATCTTAAAGACATTGGATAATATAGGACAAGTGAAGTGGTTCTTCTACAAAGGCATCGCAACAATAAAGACACCACTGCTTATTATATGAATAAACTACAACATTAATGAAAATACCGATGTTAAACATGTTATAGACATCCGCAAATAAGAACTAGGTGAAGTGGTTCTTATGAAAAGGGATCAGTGGTATACAGACAACCGTTGTTGTTATAGTCAAAGACATCTGAAGTCAAGGAAATTTGGACGAAAGTCAACAATTGAAGCTCATTACAACATCACTTTGGTTGAAGACACCGATGTTGTTTCTATAAAATGCATTGGGTTTTCCCCGATGCCTTTTACACCCCTTTAGCATCACCTTACGAGGCATCGGTATGGGATAGGAAAAGGCATCGGTTTTTCCCCGATGCCTATTAGCCTCTTTGTAGTACCATTTGGTTCACGGAAATGATTTGATGGGAAATGGAAGATTCATTTCGTATGTTTGGTAATGTTGGGAAAGTAACCGGGAAATACCACTTTATTTCCTTTCTCATGTTTGGTTTGTGTAGGAATGTAAAACAAAGTTTGTTTACTATTCAAATTTTACCCATATGAAATCAAATAATAAAAGAATGCATTTAATGCTATATTGTAATTCTAAATTGTTAAGTGGGACAAAATGGTCATGAAAAGTGTGCATTTAATGTTGGCCCGTTTTCCCAAACATTCCCATGGGAAGGGAAAATTAAACCCAAAGAGGGAATGGGGCTTACATTTTCCCCATATTTTCCCATGTGCCAGGCACTGGCAAACTCAAGAATTTTTTAGCGGAAAAGCTTTATTTTTTAAAAAAAAATGACAACCACACTTAATAAAATTAGGGGATGCTAAATTGGTCCTTTATAATGAGAACTCTCAATCCCACTAAAATAAGGAATTGTGCAAGCCCTATTAAAGCCCACTTAAATAAAGAGAACTCTCAATCCCACTTAAATAAAAACTTATCCATGCCCTATTAAAGCCCACGAAATGGCAGTCCAGGTTTCCATTTTTTTTTAAAAAAAATTTAATATATATATAAAGCAAGCGTGCTGCATGCAACCAAAACAACACTTTGTTTAGGCTTTTCGTCGAACACCTAGAGTGCACCTCTCAGGCTGAGTAGATGTGCAATATGCAACATCTATAATGGGCTTTCCAGCGAGGGAAGGTGCAGCTTCACCTCTTTACACCTTAATAGGTCCACCACTGGTGCCAGACAACTATTTCTCATGTCTGGGACTTACCAAATATGGGAAAGTAATTGATTTCCATACCCAAGGCTCCCTTCTCATGAATCAAACGCTTAGTGTAATTTC